TCCTCTGGACCAAACCTCTGACCTCCTCTGGACCAAACCTGAGACCTCCTCTGGACCAAACCTCTGACCTCCTCTGGACCAAACCTGAGACCTCCTCTGGACCAAACCTCTGACCTCCTCTAGACCAAACCTCAGACCTCCTCTGGACCAAAGCTCTGATCTTCTCTGCTCTATCAAGTTTTCTTTAGGGACAATGTGGTCTAGCCTCCTGTATGAAAATTACCACCTTTCCAGATAAGGAGAACCTGTAGGTCTGCTGAACCTTTCATTGATTTTATTGGATGTTCAGGAGCTTCAAGCCTTACAGGAATTCCTCTGGAAAGTTTATTCCATGTTGTCTTTTCAGTGGCAAGAAGGACTGAGGGAAACATGCAGGTGCTCTCAGAACGCTGATGCCTTCCTGAGGAATCTGGATTAGTTCCTTCTACTGTGTATCTCCTTCAGATCCTGACATCTCATTGCTGAGGAGTTTCTGATGGCCTGGATCTTCAAGCAGAACTTGCTGATGATGCAGCTCCATGACGGTGAGTCATCATCAGTTCTGACTGAGGAGCTGCTGAAGGTCTGCAGGTGTCCCACCTCTACAGGGTCTTCCTATTGCTCCATCATCTCCTCGGTCTGAAGAACATCTCTCTCCACTCAGCCGTAGATCTGGTGTTAGTGTTGAGCATCAGGTCACGTCAGGTTTCAGACGTAGATCTATTGATCTAGACTTACTCTGAGCAGAGTTAATCACTAAGGAATCTCCTCCACCTGCAGAGATGATGCTGAATTCATCTGTTATATTTAAGGTTCGGTTGGTTCTGGTCTGAGCGGAGGTTCACCATCAGGATGTCTTCTGATCATCGGAGCAGGCTGGGATCATCTGGACAAGTCTGGAGGAACAGGGACCATCAGACCCGCTGTTCTAGCTAACAGCATCCAGAGCTTCCCAAACAAAGGAAAAAATAAACCAGACAGCAGCACCAGAACCCGGTCCGGCCCAGATGGCCTCCCTGGGTCTCCGTTCACGAACACGTCACACTCATCACTGACCCCCTGTGTGAGAGGGGGAGACAGCGTTGCCTAGGTGACAGCATGAGGACCTGAGTGACCTGAAGAATGTGTGACATCACGGCACCGAGACTTTTAAAAGCGGGTCTCCATGGTTTTTCTGCAGACTCCGACCCGTCCTGGAACATCTCAGGACCGACGCGCTGACAGACCAAAGCTCCCAGTTGATCTGTTTCTCTGAGGGCCAAAAAGCATCTAACTGGACCGGACCGGAAACGGCTGCTAGAACCTTCTGGACCTTTGTTCTGGAGGTGAGTCCTGCTGGGTTATTAAGTCCTGCTGGGTTATTAAGTTCTGCTGGTTTATTAAGTTCTGCTGGTTTATTAGGTTATCCTGGTGAATTGGGTTTGCTGGTTTTCACCCTTTAAAGAACTCTACATGTTCTGGTTTCTGTCCTGCTGAGGGACCAGAACCTGCAGACCAGAACTTTTCTCATTTAAAATAACATCACTGATTAAATGTTTTTTTTTAAGAGGCCCTGATAATTAATAATTATAGCATTTAATTTATTCATGTTTGGAAATAAATGACACTAAATGACATGAAATGTGCTAAAAATAAAACATCTGTTAACTAATAGATCTAATTTCTACTTTATTTGAAGTCATTGAATCAAATTAAATAAAGTTTTTTTATTGATTTCAAAATCTTTCACCAGGAAAATATTTTCCCTGAAATTCAAAGTTTTTGAGTTAAAGGTTCGGATGCTGATCGTGAAGATTGGACCTAATCTGATAATAAATCAGTCCAGCAAGCTTCTGGTTCTGCTCTCTAAGCTACGTTGGATGTTGATGATGCTGAAGTGCTGCTGAGCCAGACAGGAAGTAGATGATCATCATTTCCTGTTGAGACTTTTACCCTCTTTGAATTCAAACCAGATTTTAAACAGTAAAGATGTTTTTGTTGAGAATATCTGGACTGTAAAGCCAGAGATTCATGATAACTGAGATCCTCGTCTTTAGCCTGTTTGTCTCC